GCTCCCAGAGGTGGCCACCGGCTCCCCAGCCCCGGTTTTTACACACACACACACACCCCCCCGCCATTGCGTGGAGAGTGCGTGTTTCTGTCCACTCCCACGGCCGGCCGCTCGCCACCGCCCCACACGGCCGGGTCCCCGTCCTGGCCCCGGTAAAAAGAAATGAACACAATGGAGTCTTGTTTCTGGAAGGGTTTTTTTTTGTTTGTTTGGCTTTTTTTTTTTTTTTTTTTTTTAAGAGCTTCATATATATATTTATATATATAAATTATTAGAATGTGTGTTGGGGCTTGGGAGTGCGTGGGGAACTTTGTTGGGGTGTTTTTCAATAGCTGGGTTGTTGGTTGGTTTTTCTTTTCCTTTTAATGGTTAAGTAAATATATATACGGGGACCAATCGAGAGATACAACTGTGAAATCAGACACGCACGCGGGGGCAAGGGAGTCACAAGTTGCTACATAAAACTGCCACGTCTAATAGGATGTGCATGAGTTAAAGTACATCAATTAGAATGGGTGAGGGGAAGGGGGCAGCCGCCATCTTAAAAGACAGTCCCAGGACGCAGTATCGCTCGGCCACATCAGCTCTCCCCGCGGGGCTCAAAGGGGTCATGGTGGCGATTGCGGTCTTGAAAAGAGTCTCCTGGTGCTTTGCACCTTCGTGGCCGTGCCCGTTCCCGTCAGCCGTGGGAAAGCACAGCCACCATCTTGCAAACAGTCTTGCGGTGCTTTGCACCCCGATGGCTGGGACCCGTCCCTCTGCAGGCAGGAGCGGCCGCTTTTGGAAGGGGTCCCGTAATGCTTTGTTTGCATCTGAAGGGATGCTGGAGAATGGGAAGCCTCTCTGGCTAGTCCGAAAAAGTTCCACGTTGCTTTTCTGTATCTCTAAGCAGTATCTTACACCTAAAGGGGGGGTGGGGTGGGAGGAGGCATCTTGAAAAAAGGCTCTCTTGGGTTTTGAGTTACTTCTTGGCCGCACCTCCTCCTCGCAGAAGCAGAAAAGGCAGCAGCATTGTGTACGTGAAGTCCTGTAATGCTCTGCGCTTTCTATTTAATGCAACTGTTCCCCCAAAACAAAGGATGGAGCTGCTGCCACCCTGAATTCACATCAGTCTTTGTCTTTTTGAGCTCTGTGCAATGCCGATTCTGTTTTCTTCAGAGCTCTGCTGAAATCACGTACCGATCGTTTCATGTCCGTTAGTGGTGTTTCAGTCCCTCCCCATTTTCTCTCCTCCACTTTCTGCTCCCAGGAAGCCATCCTGTACTTTTCGTCCGTCTTCTCTTGCACTCTACTGCATGGTGGGATCAGGATGTGTCACTCTGCAGCTTCCCCTCCCCCAGGATTTGGTTGATTGATTGCTCCTCTTGAGAGAAAGACATGATGATGTCACGTTGACAGTAGAAGTCCATTTAAAGGGGTTTGTCACTTTCTTTCTTCAGGTGGCTAGGATAAAGAAGAACAGCAAGGCGATTGTGAGAGAGAGAAAGGCAATTTAGTATCTCCCACTGCCTTTTGTTAGTCTAGACCCACACGACACTGCTGGCTGGGAAAGTTTTGCAAATCCTTGAAGTAGGAGATGCTATCGAAAAGGTGCGACGTCGCACCTCTCTCTTTCCCAGCGTGCCTCCCCACGTGCTTCTGAAAAGCCTCGTCTTGGCAAAAGCATCCAACCCTTGCGAACGTTCGGTCTTTTGGCAGGGGTATCAGTCAGTCGTAACTGGACTAGCACGTGCGAAACACGCAAGTTTGCCCCGGAGGAGAGGAGCTGAGACGCCACCTGAGATGAGCCACCCAACAGCTGCTTCCCAAGAACGACCTTGCCGGTGGCCAACCCACCGCCGTGCCCCAGTGGCAAGGCATCCCTGCTCCCAGGAGCGGGCACGGGCCGCGTCCCCCACTTCAGGGGCAACGCTTCCCCGTCCCCACCGCCTCCGCCACCTCCGCGGCGTACTTGCGAGGACAGAGCGGTCTGCTGGCCCCGCGCCGCGGAGGGAGCGGGTCCGTGCACCTGTAGTAATCCTCCTGCGTCGGGAGCGGCACGCCGTGCAGAGGGTGGTGGGCGTGAAGCCACTGCTGCTGTTCCAGGGCCAGGCGCTGCAGCTCGGCTGACTGCGCGTGCATGGCCTGCAGCTGATGCGCTGCTGACATGGGCGCGGAGAGGGAGCCCGGCAGGTCCCTGTAGGGTGCGGCTGCAGCCGAAGACGAAACGGAGAACAAGTTAGCCTAACAGCTCCATCCTCACCCATGGCCCCATAGCTCGGCCGAGACTCTACTGCGCTGCCTTCCCCAGCCCGGCCCGCGCGCAGGGCTTGCTCACCCCCTGATCGCGTAAGGCCTGTCCTACGCCGTGCCAGAGCTCTGTTTAACAGACCTCGATTTGGTCCTGTCACCCCTCGTGACCGCCCTGCCCCTTGGAGCTCTGCTGATGCTCTTCAGAGGAGACCCGCAGTCCCCGTGAGCTTCCTTACCAAAGAGCTGGTGGCGCAGCACTTCGTTCTCATGTAGAGGGTGAGGCAGGAGAGGGTTGGGGATGGTTCCAGCTGGATATGGTATCCGGGTGAGGTGGGATCCCGAGGCGAGTGGGTCGATAAGAGGGTGAACAGAAGCCGAGGCTGGGAAGAAAAGATATCACAAGATAATTGTCCCGTGCTTTGTAAGAGGTAACACGGAGAAAGGCGCAAGGCACAACAAAACAGATGTGGAGAGGGTCGGGGTGTGTTAGGGATGGAATGATTTCAAGGCTAGACAACGCAGTACCATGTCCTTCTGAGCGTTACTCTTTTTGCCTGCACTGAATTTCACGTGAACCAGTCTGGCATAGCTCTGTCCCTGCACTCCTCAGGGAAACAGTACTGCTCCTTAAAGTCGATTCTGCAAGGACTTGCTCTGCAACGACGCCTGGACCAGCATCGTGCCTCTGTCTGCCACCCTGGCTGTCATTCATGTGCATACTCATATTGGGTGCTTCCATTTCCAGGTCTCATCCAGCACGGATGCTCAGTGCCAGGCACTCAAGTTTGCAAGTACTATCTAAGGCTGAAATGCAAGTTACTATTCATATGAAAACTGCTCTTCCCAGTGGTTTGGACTCACTGCCAGAGTGCTGGCTGGAGGTGCCCAGCTACGGAGCGTGGGGGAATGGACATTCATTTGTACCTGAGGCCATCTCTGAGCAGCTGCGGCTGCTTAGAGTGGGTGTCTGTCTGTGACTCCACCACCAGATCCCACTGACCGCTCAGTACCTGAGCAGGCACAGCACTTTTTCCTATTGTATTGTAGTTTGGGCTTTTCTTCCCTGAGATTTTCATCCCTAAACGTCTTCTTTTTACTTTGCTTTCCTGTAGGATGCGGAAATGGAAGGGATCACCACTCAATTCTGAAGGACAGCAGCCTCCAGTTCCTTACAATTAGCCCATCTTCTCTCCCATCCCATCCCACCATCTGCAGCAAGAGCCGCAGGAGCAAACTAGAGAACCAACATTTCATTAGTCCTTAAGGATACTGTCAAAACCGTTGTTAGCAGGGCTCCCGCTCCCTCTGCAGACCACAGTGTGAGGGATGCAGCCCACAGCACCACCACCCTGGTAGCCCGTGGGACCCCAGCACTCATATTGAGTCCCCAGAGATCCAGAACTAAAGGACGTGCTGCAAACAACTCTGCTCGCCACTGAGCAGCAAACTCACAGACACCCCCATATTTGCAACAGATGCGTCTTTGGTGGGATGGGAGCGAGGGCAAAGCCGAATGACCACGACGTTGACCTCTTCTGGCTGAAGAGGTGGATCTGGGGCCCCAAAGTCTGGTCTCGGCAGCTTTTGGGCTTCCCCAGGGCCAGAGGGAGGGAGCGCAAGGAGGGCGTAGGAGGGAGAGCAGGGCTTTCTGCGGGGCACCACCGCAACAGGGTCCTTACCTGCATGTATGGCATCCTGCTGGTGGAGATGGAGGTGGGAGTGGATGTGGGAATGCTGATGATGATGAGGTGTCACATTGAGCATCTGCAGCCGGGCCAGAGGGTCATTGCTGAGAGCAGCCACCCGCTCGGCGTGCTGGCGCTCAGCCGCCAAGCGCTCGGCGTAGGACATGTCGGGACGAAGGGTCGGGCCGGCTGCCAGCGCCAGCCGCTCCCGCTCCAAGTGGCCCAGCCCTGGGTGGAAGGGAAAAGCGGGATGAAGGCCGGGGGCCGTCTGCAGACTCAGCCCGCCGTGGCGTGGGAACGGATCCATGGCAGCAGCTGGCACGGCGTGGAGCTGCTCTAACTCGGCCGGCTTGACTTCAAAGCCGGGCTTGAGACGTTCACGCAGGTCCCGGTCCCTCAGGTCTCGTTCGCGGGCTTCCCGTTCCCTCAGCTCTCGCTCCCGCGTCGCTGGATCGCTGCTGTAGATGGCCGGCACGTTGTACCCCAGCAAGCCCGGGTCGACAGCGCCCAGCGGCACGTAGAAAGGGTGGTTGCGGTTGCTGGGGGACATGACGTGGGGCCGCGCGTATTCGCTGAGGGTGCGCAGAGCCGGGGTGTCGGGACCCAGGTACGGGGGAACGGTCGCTACGGCACTGCCCTGCTCGAAGGAGGGGCGGTGGGGAACCGGCCCGAGGGACGAGCACTCAACCGGCCGGCCCTCCTGGGCCATCTTCTGCAAGAGAGCGGAGAGACCGGTGTCAGGGTCCCAGCAGGGAACGGCCGAGGGGGTCCGCGAGCATTCCCCCCCGGCTGCCCTGCAGCAGTGAGACCCCCAGACCTACCACGCTCCTCTCCAGCTCCCGCTCCTTTTCCCGCTCCCGCTCCTTCTCCCGCTCCCGCTCCCGTTCCCGCTCCTTCTCTTCCCGCGCCTTCTGCTCAGCCTCTCGCCGCACTTTCTCCACCAAGTCTGCCCTTTTCTTGGCCAGCTTGGAGCCGTCGAGGGGCACAAAGTACAGGTCCGTGCGGGAGCAGGAGTTGAAGCCGCGGTCCAAGTGTTTGTTGAATCTGGGGGCGAGAGGCGAAGCCTGTCAGCACAGGAGGGGGCTGGAAGGCAGGGACAGGGATGGGGACAGGGATGGGGACGGGGATAGGGACAGGGATAGGGACGGGGACAGGGACAGGGACGGGGGCAGGGATGGAGACAGGGATGGGGACCGGGATGGAGACAGGGGCAGGCAAATCCAAGCCCGGCGCTGTGGGAAAGAGCATCACAGAAAAGGCGAAAGGGCGCAGCTGCACCCCACACTCGGGGTGACCCCCCCCGTTCCCTGCCCCATGCATCCCTCCCCAGCCTGGGGACACCCCTGGACCCCCCCTCCCGCCTCACCTGGCTGACTGGCTGGCATGGCTCGGCACATCCACCACCTTGGGGGGCGGCGAGGGGCTGCGAGCAGGCGGCACGGGGCTCTCGGGGGGCTCGTACTCCTCCGACGGCTCCTGCTTGATCTGGGCGGCGCTGAGGGGCAGCGGGGG